TATGAACACTCAATCATCATATCAAACCTTTAATATCAAACCCTAATATTTAATGATACATCCTACTGAATGAAATGCGGAGTATTCAAACACTCATTATAGATGAAATATCAATGGTTTCCGCAAGTCTATTTACATCCATCTCTGATACATTTGCCAGACTGCACAACAACCAAGACCTTTTGGTGGCATTAGTGTTTTGGTAGCAGGTGATTTATGTCAGTGTTCAAGGAACGGCTGTATGGCTTTTGTTTGTTTATATAATTTCCTCGTAATAGTAAAACGTAAAACGGGTAACTAAAATAAATTGTTTGCAGAGCTGAAACCATGATCTTTCATTGGTTGATCAGATTCTATTCTCTAACTCCATTGGTTAGTTTCGGATTTTCACCCTTGTGTAACTAATTTCGGCATCCCCATTTTAAAATAAAATAAAATAGTATATTTAAAATTTATATTATACAGTAATAAAAGTTATTGGATAATCTGTCACAAACTTGTAACACCGACAGTGGGAAACAATGACAAAGGAAATGCTTTTATACCGAATATTTGTATTTGTTAGTTGTCTTTCATAATTTCCATTACAAATTCCAATTATATACCTCGTTATATATATAAATAGGTATTTTTCATGGCATCTATATAAACGTCCCAGAGAACTCTAAATTCCACTTCATTGTCAGACGCTCGCTTATTGCTGACAAGCTGAATAGTTACTAGCGCTAGTAAACTTTTTGTTGTCAGTTAAACGTCCAACTATCACTGAAGAATAAAAAAGAGCTCAACGCGCCTGGTGAATTTCTGGTAAAGTACGTAACATACAAAATAGAAGTTGATTGAACAACCGATTCAATTATACAGTACAAATATTTATACGCTACATGTACGCAATGCATATATATGTGCATTATTGTATAAATACCCCTCTAATAAAATGATTTTTTTATCATCTAGAAAATATAAAAGCATCGAAACATCCCATCCTTACTCAAAGTGCAGCATCTTTAACGACTTCACGTGTTCGCACAAGCACTCAGTAACGATCACATCACCTTCCTTGCACCTAACAAACGAAATGTCTAAACGAGATTGGATGGCTATCCAGAGCATACTTAATAATGGAGACGATTACCAGTCCCTCAGCCCTACACTCCCTACAAGCGATTCTGACACTGTACTGGATAGCGACAAGCCTTATGAATGCGAATGGTCTAAATGCGGGAAAGCCTTTTCCCGACGCAGCAACCTCAAGTTTGTAGCAATGATAAAGAGAAACGTTGCTAAATTTATTCTCAGTTTATATATCGTTACTATTGCTGTCTCAGCAAGTCATTCTGAAGAATCATACGGTCCCCGCACTTCCTGGTAAGCGTTTGACCGGTAGCAAAGATAATAAGGTATTAGTATGCACTATTTACGTACAAATTGTTTATATGTTTTAGGTATGCTTTTCATGGTCGATCGACACATACTAGAACGAGTTCTCTGTCAATAACTCAAAGGTATTTATTTCTTGGCCATAACTATATATAGTGCAAAATAAGCGTCATTCAATTACTTGTCTATTATTTACTATCTAATGTCAGCAGTTCCTCAACCACGACAACTATTACAACGGCTCCACTACCTATTCCGTCCATTAACTATACGCCCGAAGAATACAGTTTAATATACAAGATATTGCTAGGCATTGCTGGTATTATTATTACGGTAACAATGTATCTTGGTGGAAAAAATATCATTTTTAAATTTATTTGCTGTAGTCAGTATAACGACGTGGGGCAAAAACCAGCAACTATAAGCAGTGACAGTGATATCATGGACCTTATTGAGCTTTATGAGCCGTAAATTTTATTTGGATTATAAAAAGAGTGCTTATTATTATTGATGGGATAAATTTAATCTATTACTCCTATTGGATAGTTTGTTGTATATGTTCTTTTTTTACTGTTCAACTGACATGTTGGTTGAACGATGCGTTGTTCAGATATTCTTTTTTTGTAGATTTAGTCTTGGTGATTGGACAGGGAATACAAGAAATGACTTTGATTCATTACATTGAATATGTTCAGGAGAGAACAATAAATGTCTTTATTATAACATGTAGTGTTTAACAGATTGTTAAGTCATAATCCTGTATCGCTCGTAATTGCTTTACAGGTCTACAATGGGAAATAATATACATATAGCATTTCCCTTACAATTTGTAATATTGTTATAAAAATGCTTTTCCTGCCTGCTAGCGTAAGGAAGGGGTTATTATTATCTGTTTCTAGTTATGGTATTAAACTCCATTGATCTGTGAGCTCAAAAAAACCAAACTTTTGTAAGTGGCTTTATTGATCACTACGAACTAACATTGAATCTACTTCTCTACAAGTAATATGATATGCTCAATTGGCATTCATCTCTGTGAAGCATGTTTCTAGCATTGCTACTTATCGTTGTATATTTCTCCCTTATTTTTGCGCCACAGTTGACTATATCACACACAGCGCTGTTGAAAACATCTCATCAACACATTTACCATTTAATTACCGTTGAAAATAGTATGTAGTAGTAGCTAGAAAAATATTTAATTGCTCAGAAATTACTAACACTTTGAATGTTCCATGTTCTGTGCGCATCATATTATCAAATTTTATAGAGTAGCTCTAATAATATCATGTTATATTATGTTATATTTTTCTGGCAATCGTACGATCAGAGCGTGAAAAAGTTTATAATAATTGAATCTTATTATCAATTATTCTGGCTTGTCAATATTGCCTATATAGTGTGGTTGTAATAATAATACTACCCTAACCAATAAACATTGGAATTAATTCCACCGGTAGAAATAGATGTAAAAACTTGAGGCTAATAAGTAATCTAGAATTGCCGTATACGAGGCCGGACGTACAAGCTGTAAATATTAGATGTTAAAAAGCTGTTAATCTGTCGAATATCATCTAGCAAAAGTAGTGGTTCCCAAAGCTTCGTTTGACCGTCAGCTCGACGCTGATAAGGTCAGCCTAATTATTAAATTGTCTGACTGTCAGTTTTTTTGTTATATAAACTCATTCTACGTTGACTCCCGGTGTGTCTCAGCAGAAGCATTCAACTTTTTTTTAACATCTAATACTAAGTACATTTCCATTTGCAATATAACAATAGTAGCGAAAAAAAAAGGCATTTTTGAAAATGAGCTTCAATTACATCAATTGATAACCCAGCGTTGTATCGCTATATATTAAGTTTTTTTTTTGCAATTCAAAATGTCAGTGATCTAGTGAATTTCACGTTAAAACGGGTAATTGGTTTAGATTTGATTTATCCAACGATTAATGTTAAAGATAAAACAACAACTGTGTGATTGTGTGATGATTGTTATTAATAATATAATATGTTTCATTCCATATCTAGTTTTCTTCTATTTTTGATTCTCATAAATAAGGTGATACCTAACAGAAAGCAATGGTATATTGCGGAATAACGCGAGCGCGCTGGTGTTACAAAACACGGGATCGGGATCGGCAATCGGAATTCAAACTTATACTGTATTCACCAACAGACTTGGTGTATGAAATTGTCTTGACAGACTGTACTAAGTTCTGGGAAGCTAAGGGTACAACTGATGACCCCTTCGTAGTAGTAAAAAGCAAACTTTTGTTTCCTACATAATAATATTTATTTCCTGTGCAATCATCCGTGATTTACTGAACAATGCTTCTGGTGTCTCAAAGGACGGCGGCTTAAGTTATCTTCAGTGGATAGAGAATAGTTGACGGCAGACCATATCAACTCGGAGCTAATAGTCAGTATGTGGTACGCAGGATCAGATATGTGCGGTTTACTATAAATCTAAATTGTGTGTGTTTTCGGTGGAAGGGTAGCGAATCGAATCGGGACGAGCATCAGTTCAGCATTAAGTAACACGTCGAATATTCATTGCTCTGACATTGTGAGTTATATTTATAGCTATCGTATGAACGACCGGCCTTCATCCACTATGTGGAGAGAGTTGATGAATTGTGCAAACAAGAGCTCAGTTTTGTAGAGGTATCATGTCGATTGACAATATTTATGGGTATGCTGAACGAGCCTTCGGACGCTGCATTGAACTAGAATCGCCACCTGGAAGCAAATGCAGGGAAGAGATGTTGAAATGGCAAATGCATTTACGAGAATGACTACACAGGAACGGGAGAAGGAACTATCAAGTTCGCTTCTGTACAGCTTCATCATAGAGGCCCATACGCCTTCAGACACTCTGTAGTTTTCGGTCCTATTAAATGAAAAGAAAAAGAAACTTAGAAAATTGCTAAATTACTGGAAAGTTGAGGTATGTAAACCGTAGCTAACCCGTATTAGTATTGCTATGGATCTTTGATAGCAGTGTCAAAATATTTTGATCGTTCAGAAAGTTTGGCGATTGTTTCCAACTTAGAGTGTGCGTTTCTACGAGCTCCAAACTCCTAAGTTTTGTTTAACACTTAGTCATCAGCTCACATGCTCTTCTCTAATTTGATATTTAACTAAAATAGCAGGTTTTTATTCCATTCTTCTGTCATATACGGTTTTAATTTTGGGCATGCGCATCTTGTCTACATGTTTAAAATAGACGCGTATTCTTTTGTTTGGGGAAAAACTTTGATGCACGCTTTTCATATAGTATTTTGAAATATTTTACTATATCACTTCCAGGAGTTTCATAATTAACGGAAATCTTGCAAATCATTCAGGCATATTGACAGAAGATATTACCGAGCCCTCATCGATAGTGAATGACGAAATGTCTGAAGATCGCAAGACCACGGAAAGAGACAACGCCCGAACGTAATTCTACTATGACTGCTGTTGGCAGTTCTAGAACCGCTCACGCTAAGAGAGGCTGAATGCTGCCAAACCCCGACATGTTAGTGCACGGCAGAGGGAAAAATTACATTCACTGAGTCTAATGCCAATAGAAGAGAAAAAATATATCGCTGGATTCGGACAAGAAAATAACGAGAATAATGACAAGAAGAACCACGCTTGACGATAATAATCATAATCATGAAGCTGAGATGACGGCTATTCAGCTGGTCAGTACAGTGTCTAGAGCTGGTTTGGAATTGACTGATCTAGCGTCAGCGACTACTACCAGAAGCAACGAATCGTCCTTTATTGATGTAGAAGAATCCGGATTTTCCAAAGAAGACTTAGAAGTGTCACTTACGGCACTGCATCAGACTCTGCAAAAGCTCAACAAACTTGCATCGAACAATGTTCAGTCAGCATTAGATAATGAATTGGAAAGCGGTGGGTTTATAGTTGTCAATATTAATAGTCATGCAAAAATGTCTGGCTACTTGTTAGCTATCCGCTTGTATAAAATAATTACAGAATGTTGGCTGACATATGATAGTTGGAGTTTTGTCCTTTACAGCGAGGCGTGTGATTATGTAAGCATTGTATCCAGCAGAATGATGCGTCACCAAAACACTTAAGTTTAATTCAATTATTGATTTTGCAGTGTTAATGAAATTGTATAAGAAGACGCGAAGGATACTCCTAAATAAAATGGTAATTGAAATCAATTCCGTTACGAGCACCAAAACTTATCAGTAGGTCTGAATTTTGCCTTGGGTTCGGCTGATGGCAATTTTCATACTTACGAGTGTGTTTATGAGTGCTTGTTTTATATGAAACTTATCTTTTTGAACGTCAGTTGGTTTAATACCCTCTGCTGCCGAAAATATCACGCTGATAAATGACTTAAAGGTCCGGTTGTTGCCATCTGGAGCAAATGCATAAGTCAAACACGTAGCTATGAATCCTACGGCTTTATGGTTTAGCGAATATTGTGGTGCCTTGCACTAGCTGTTTGCTATAACCAAATGTGAAGGTTATTTCAAACGGAACACATTAATATGTGTTGCAAGAGATGGATACCTAATGGTATATAACGTGGACAGTCGTAACGTTCAGCAGTTTTGAACTTCTGTGGCTTTATTGCAGAGTGCTCCATATCATCGTTAAAAGAAACCATCTTCCGTACTATACAGTATTTCATTGATTATCCATCCCGATTGTAGGAAAGCAAAGCAATTGTACAATAGAGCTACACCGGTAAAGGGAATGGCTGCGTTTTTTATTATGCAGGCTCTCTAACTGTACTGGTTACTTAATCATATCATTGTCATTCGTATATAGCGCGAACATTTTGTCTAACCAAGTATGTGTTTCTATTACACTTCATGCCTTCGCTATTAACACGAAATGTGACGACAGTCATAGTCAAAGAAACATCACACTATACCCCAAAAGTTTCAGATATCTTGTTGTTTCGTCAACATAATATCAGGCTTTCATTCGCTTGGTTTAAGTCTGCTCACATTACCAAAACTGTTGGCAAGGATCTAACCCAAAACTTACGTCTGGGAATGTCTCTTCGTCTATTGTAACATGTTTGACACTTTTCTTCTCGTCGAAAGTCAACATTTTTCTGGCGAATTAGTCTGTTTTAGTTACAATTTCCATGCGATCTCCGAGGAGGCTCCCAATGTCTGAAGTAAGATAGTAAATTCGTTTAAATACGGTAATCTTTGTGGTACACTTTTTTTCTACAATGTTAAATTTTTGTCCCGATTTTCGAAATGCAGTCCAGTTCTCGTCCGCTTTTAATGATAACCTCTGTCAATGCTTCTTTCACATACAGGAACAACCACTGGCAGAGCGATGATCAAGCGTGAAGACAGTTATTGGCAATCTAACAATTCGGATTCATAAGATCGGGTTATAGAAAGTTTCTTGATTCTAACGGCTGTAAGTGAACAATGACGCAAAAGAGATTCCGTAAGTAAGTGAGAGAAGTATCGGCACCAAGTTACTTCTGATACCACAGCCATCAAATAATCGTCCATTAATCCCTCCAGATATATGACATCCAAACGAGCGTTGACCCTGAGAACATAAGTACAAGAATCACTCCACAGCCATGGCACGATTGTCCAGAACCAAGCTTGACTGAGTAAAAGAAAAGAACGTAGCACTGATTGGAATGTGTTCTCTAAAGTGAGGTGCTATTTCATATATTTCGACATCCGCTTGGTCACATGATTTACTGATTAGAGTATGTGCACAAGTTAAATTGATCCGTTCTGCAAGCCGCTGTCAAACTTTCTAGTGTTAAAAAGCCGAAATGTATGCTGTGTGTGCATCCCGCTTGTTGCAAGAAGGTAATTTGTTAATATAGTAAATGTCCCAGTCAACAACACATCATTCCACAAATTTGCATTTCTGTTCCAGTAGTCTGACGAAAAGAGAAGAGGGCATAATTTATATTCCACTTTCACATTATATAAAAATATCAGGACAGCAGAATCGAGTTTATATTTACCTGGATAGTGGAGATGATCAAGAAGCTTTTTAGATAGATAATTTTTAGGCATCCTTAATATCTGTGATGACGAGATTACTGATAATAAAGACAATGTCAAAAGTCATAACAGGTAAGATTAACGTCAAGTCGACGTGACGGCAGGCCCTTGGTAATTGGATATAGTCTGAAGATAATAATCCGAATGGTGATTTCATGATTTCATGATTTATATGTATTATAATTGTATAGCTCCATGCTATTAACAAGTACGGTTATTTCTTTCCCAACAAGAAAAAGCCATCGATCGAAAACCAAAACTATCGGAAAGACAATGATTAAGTATGGAAGTGATAATAGTCAAGAGGTAAATATAATTTATTATTAAACTTACCTCTCAGGTATCAACAGTCACAGACAGAAACACACCAACGCAACGGGACTAGCCCCTTGATCTCGTTCGCTAAGCCACCCATGCCTTGTAAAATTGTCACGTGGTCACGTGGTCGCATCGCGCAAAAAAATCCAAAATTACACCTTTGCTGACTCGATTTGAAATCGGTGAATCAACCATGCATGATATCCTGAAACGCAAAAACGAATATCTTAATAAAAATCCAAACCACCATCTCGTTTCAAGAAACGCGATCGCCCACCCAAATTTCGTCAGCTTGAGGAGGCTCTTGCTATTTGGTGGTGTGATGCTGTTGTAAAAGCAATCTACCTCTATCTGGTCATCTTCTTCAATCTAAACTCTCCAATTTGCTGTCCTGTTGGGCATTAGTGTTGATGAATTTAAATGTTCAAATGGGTGGGTAACCAATTTTAAGAAACGAGATAGCATCTGTGAATATACACGTTGTGGTGAGGGAGGCAAATAGCTAAAAACTACCTACATATAGGACAGAGTTGCAGCAAATAATCTCCTAGTTTGAGCTTAAAGACGTATTTAATGCTGATGAAACGGCCCTCTATTGGAAGCTTTTACCATCTAAGACTACTCTCTTCTCATTCAGTTTCTGATGTTAAAAAGATGAGGATAGGATAACTATTCTACTCGTGCAATGCAACTGGGACGGAGAAATTGGCCCCTCTTCTCATATACAAATACAAAAACAGGACATTACTTCCGCATGGATGAATCCGATATGCGTCATAAACAACGAAAAATTCTCCTACTTGTTGACAATGCTACTTCACACCAGTTCGGCAAAGACTCATCATTCAATAATATTACCGTTTATTATTTTCCTGCCAATCCCTGCGATGCAGGAGTTATCTATGGTACATAAATTTGTATTGTTAAAGAAAGGAAATTTGTTCTTGTATTTTAATTTACCATATTATTATTGTGTAGCCGCAATACAGAAAACTGTTGTGTGAAAACCGTGTCAATGCATTTGATGAATCCGTTGCAACAGGTCAAGAAATGTCTCAGCTTGATATAATGACGAGTACAACAATCACGAGGTCGTGGAACAAGACACGACGCAATTTACCAGACGTTTAATGTAACGACAATGACGAGCAAACTATCCAACATCTTGTTGGCTGTCTTCAAGTTGAAGAACCGATGTCAGCTAATGAATACCTTGAAATGGATAATCATTTACTTTGAGAGAATACCAACGGTGAAGATGTTGTAGAAATTGTCACAGGCATTGAAACACCAGAACCGTGTAGAACCATTTTGTGTACGTTGTGATAATAATAACTAAAGACTTAAGTTGTAAACCGAATAATTATTAAATTCAACAGCAAGTTCGGATTATTGACCTCGTTAATCCGAAGATGCCGTTAATCCGAACTTAAGCCTCGTTTCCGTTGACTTCGGATTAACTATTTATTAAAGTACAGCTCAGCTTGAGACTCCATTATTCAACTACAGTCAAACGTCGATATAGTCAAGTCGACGGGACGGGGATTTTTCTTTACTATATCGAAACTTCACTATACCGAGAATTTTCGATATAGTAAGGTTTAGCATAAATTTTCACTATATTGCGACTGCAAATCTTATAGCAGTATAATAATAAACGGCTCAAACGTTATTTCTACTGACGAATCTAATACTGCTGAATGATTTATATGAATGTACTGATACTAAGTTGTTTAACGTAGCAAGTTCAATGTAGTAACATCTTAAGGTTTCATAATTTATTAATTCATATTTATTAGTCCTCTTCTAACTGAGGACGCTTTCCAGTTCTTTGTCGCTTCATGAATTAAGATCAAGTGACAACCATCTTACCTTATCACGCACAATCTTTGAAACGGCTGCCTCGGAAATATCGAATTGCTTCGCTATTGTAACTTGGCAAACACCTCGCCCTTTTAAACGACATATTTCAGCTTTCTGGACACCGGACAAACTTCTTCTCTCTGAATTGGCTTTTTTTTCTTTCTCTTTGTAGCGTGCTTCATGCTGTTAAAATTATACTTTTAATCAACACGTGTTTGTATTATGATTGGTCAAAACCCATCAGGTGGTACACTCTTTACTATATCGAGACGCAATCTACTAATATTGTTTGAGAAAAAACTTGACTATATCTAATAACGAGACTTACTATATAACTTCACTATATCGAGGGAAAATTTAATAATACTGTTTTTGTGTCAGAGG